AACTGATTTTGTGACCGTTTGCTGATCTCAGGCTCTCGCTGTACTATCGATTAGTGAAACACCTTTTGCCGCATTGTTTGGAAGGCAATGTTTAAGATTTTTATAGGTAATCGTTAATTTGAATGAACATTGCGTTTTCTAGTAAGTTGGATAATACGGGTAAAATACTGATTGGTCTTGAATCAGAAAATGAATCTGGCTTATCTATTTTAGCGAGAGGTAATGCTAGTGCTTCCTTCCATGATTCGGGATATACAACTTACATACAAGCCCAGTTTCAGCATCCTCAGAGATACGCCACCGTTTCCTAGATCATCCGATTTCAAAGATTGACATATTAATTTTAAATCAGCCATGTCGATCATCAAATTAACTATTTTTTTCATAATGCTCAATCATTTCAGTGCATCAAGAAATGGTGTTATTGAATACTGAGCAGAAATAATTACACTGATCAACAGCCAAAAAATATCCTAAATAAAATCAACAAAATATTACTATTTTTAATGTGCTAAAACCGGAATGAAACTTATTTTATCAATATTAGTTCAAGTTTTAGAAATACGGTAATTATATGTGTTCCTGCTGTGACAGTGTTAATATACTGTAATTCACAAGAATGCACGTGCTACATTTTTATATTCGGCAAGGAAAGATGATGTAATCGGCATGATTGTGTTACGTTATACATACGTGTACATTATATTGTTTTATATTAGCCATTTTTTCCTCAGTTGGCTGACAGCGTTCATGCAAGACGTCTCGAAAGTGTTTAAACAATCCAGATCAGTTTTGTTACGTGTGTGGTGATGTGACTTTTGCGTCTCAGAGACGGTCTATTACTCCACTAATAACAAAGGCATATTAGCTTTATTTCGGTTGTAAACTAGGTGATCAAGACAAACAGTGGGCACCCCACATCTGCTGTAATACATGTGCTTCAAGTCTGAGGAGCTGGTTAAATGGCAAAAAACGGTCTATGCGCTTTGCTGTCCCAATGGTTTGGAGAGAGCCTACAAATCATATTAATGATTGTTACTTTTGCATGGTACCTTGTGTTGGACAAGCCACAGGTATGTCCAAGAAAAAAAAATCGGTTATTAACTACCCAAACATACCATCTGCGATGAGACCTGTGCCTCACAGTGACGAAAATCCTATTCCAAAACCCCCAGAATCCTACACTTGCGAATCAGAAAACGAATCAGATCATGGCGATCGAGTGATTCGTCAGGAAGAAGATATGCCATCAACGTCAAGAGATCCTAATTTTATACCGAGCACGTCATGCCACCAACCGCACAAAATAACACAGTCAGAATTAAATGATCTTGTAAGAGATTTAGAACTTCCAAAATGTAAGGCAGAGTTACTTGGATCAAGACTGTAGCAGTGGAACTTGTTAGAAGACGATGTTTCGGTATGTGTTTTTCGTAAATGCCACAAAGACAGAACCATTTTTCAATATGGAGAATAACTTGGTTTTCTGCAGTAACATTAGCGGCTTACTGGCGGCTTTAAATATAAACTATAACCCAGAAGAATGGAGATTGTTTATAGACAGTTCAACATTGAGTTTAAAGGCAGTGTTATTGCATATTGGAAATATTTTACCATCTCTTCCTGTAGGGTATGCAGTTCACATGACAGAATCATATGACAATATGAAGTACCTTTGACGTGCATAAAATACGATGAGCACCAATGGCATATTTGTGGCGATTTGAAAGTTGTTGCACTTTTACTTGGGCTGCAGCTAGGCTACACAAAGTTTTGCTGTTTTTTGTGTGAATGGGACAGTCGGGCAAAGGCACTTCATTACACCAGACAAAACTGGCCTGTTCGTCAATTCCTAGAGCCAGGTCAAAAAAATGTACAGCATATGCCATTAGTAGATTCGAAAAAAATTTTATTACCACCACTGCATATCAGGTTGGGCCTAATGAAAAACTTTGTCAAGGCATTAAATAGAGATGGGCCAGCTTTTCAATACCTGCATCAGAAATTTCCAAGGCTAAGTGAGGCAAAGGTTAAAGAAGGTATTTTTGTTGGGCCACAGATTCGAAATATTTTGAAAGATACACAGTTTGAAAACACTTTAACAGGTATTGAAAAAACTGCTTGGAATGATTTCCGTCTGGTGGTCACTAATTTCTTGGGAAATAGAAAAGCTGACAACTATAAAACCCTTGTCAAAACTATGCTGTCATCGTATCAAAAGATGGGTTGTAATATGTCTCTTAAGATACATTTCCTACACTCACACCTGGACATTTTTCCTGACAATTGCAGAGCCGTAAGTGATGAGCACGGCGAACGTTTTCATCAGGATATTTCAACAATGGAAACAAGGGAAAGTGGAATCCTTCGATGCTTGCAGACTACTGTTGGACTCTTGGTAGAGATGCTCCAGAAACGATCCATAAAAGAACAGCAAAAAGACAGCGCATATAGTGATTCTTATAAGTATATGAATCTTGTTACTTTTTTTAATATATCCTTAAAAATAAAAAGTTTTTTCTAAACCGCAACTTATTTTTTATTTCATTGTCATTTTTGGATTCAGCGCCCCAAAATTAACAAAGAAGTGCACTTTTCCCACAAGATACAATTAAAAAACTAAAATTTGTTGTCCAGTGATCAATCTCCAACTGGGTTTCTTAATAGCAAAGGATTATCACTATTTTTTTATTGGATATACTGGATACACATAGATTTTAAAGCTTTCTGAAAAATGTTTGAATAGACGTTCTTTTTCTGCTCCACTAGTAGTCCATCTGGCAACGTCGCATCTCCCCGATTTTCGTAGAATTACCAAGGCTGGGACCGTATAAATATACTAACTTCGAAAAATTGAGATATACCCTCTACACCACCTACAACTCCCACCTCAAAATTCTGTACCGCAAACATTTTTTCAGGATTCTTTGAAACGAAATTTGGGCGAATTTTATTTTTTTCGTTTTAGGCCTTTTTCACCGCCGCCACTGGACCGATTTTCAAAGACTCCAATGCTTTCTTTTCTTGGCGTAGTAGTAAGATTGTGTGAAAATTTCATCAAAATTCGAGCGATACTTCTCAAATTATAAGCGGTTATAAGACCAGTGGACAGGCAGACAGAATAGTTTTTTGTGATCTACATGTCATATGACATCCAAAAAACATATCTTGTTTTTGCAAATTTTCTGGATTACAATACTTTCCCGCCAGTGGGCGTGATAGGTAAAAGTATTCTGGGACTAAAAACTTTTTGATCTTTAATGGATATGTTCTAATTCAGCGCCTGATCCATGAAATCAGCTAGGCGTAGCAAGATTCGTTTATTTGTTTGTTTATAAGAGCATCCGACTATCATAAAATGTTCCCGACTTTATACAGCTTGCAGCCGAGTAATCGCTGCATCTCTCCAGAAACAATAGACAGATAATTAAAGACAGCAGCCAATAACTCGAATCTTTATGGTGTGAGCTTTGTAAAATACCACCGAGCATTCCTTCTATCTCCAACGCGGCAGCCAGCAAAAACCGAAGAGCTACTGGTATTCGCTCAGCCGACCAGCTGGGTACTGATGGGTACCACCGCAAGCGCGTACCACTAACGCTTTGGTTGACTGGCTCGCAATGCCATTAGTGTATTGATTACAAATTCTCTTCGAAGGATTATTTCTAAGCATTATATTTTGCTGCGGGTAGTTGTTTAATTTTTCACGCATCGGTGAAATGATTGGCTGATGGCGATACTTATTCCGGATTATGAGGCGTTTGCTGTGGCTTGGTGCAAATATCAGATTTTGTTACGACACCTAAGTGTAGTAAGCTGTATACGTTTTATCTTGAAAGTGGGACTATAATGACACGCTTCATAAGTTTTACAAGATCTTCTGCATTGAGGATGATTAGGCCAAGACGTTGTACGTGGTTGACGACGAAAAAAGCTCAACTGAAACTCGTAACAAGGATTATGCAGCTAAAATAACTGTCCATGGTTAGCTGTCTTTGGTCAGAGTTACGAATGTAATGTGAAAAAAAGTTAGTTTCGAACATGTAAAGCAGAAAGTAAACGGATGGAGTTCCTCAAACAGGTCCATACATTTGGTCGATAGACATTTTTCCGCTACAATACCTGTAGTACAATGAGCATACTGGTGGCTCGTCAAACTCGTTTGCAACCCTCCTGGATACTCCTTTATCCATTCTTGTTTATAAGAGGTGCAGATTTTTCTGATTTTCCCCTAATCGGAGAGAAGTTGATTTTGTCAGCCGTTGAAGAGGTTTTAAAAACTGTTTTACATAAACCTGCATCTGATATCATTAAAAGCAATAATACTGTTGAAAGACGTATTGATGAAATCAGTTCTGATACTGAAAGCTTCTTATGTAATTATTTGCAAACGACCCATTTCTCTATACAACTGGACGAGTCAACTTTACCTGATAATGCAGAATTATCATTGGCATATGTTCGTTTCATTATGAATCAAGAAATCTACGATGAACTGCTCTTCGCAAGAACTTTGATAACCGACACTAAAGGTGAATCAATATTTCATGTTTTGAAGGATTACTTCATTGAAAAAGCAATTCCTTTTAAAAGAAAATTTAATGAAGAGGAAAACAGACATCGCCTATTTAACAGATTTGTTTACAAAATGTAATATGGTCAATTTGCAATTACAAGGCGACAGTTTAAATTTGATTAAAACATAGTCCATCTTATCAGCGTTTCTTGCCAGAGTTAAACTAATGAAGCAAAATATTGGACGGGGCGAATTTTCTCAGTTCCCCAATTTGTCACAGACAAGCTGCCAGGAAGACGACGTTTCAACTTACGTTCAACATTTAAATGCCCTCTATTCAGATTTTGAATCTAGGTTTGAGGATATTTTGACTATCGTAATACCACAGTGGATAATTAATCCATATGGTGACATAGAAGAAACGAATGTTATAATACAAGAGGAACTGACTAAACTAAGCACAAACGAAGAACTTAAGGTTCAGTTTAAAAACGGATATCAGCAATTCTGGCTGCAAAACAACATACCAGTTACTTATCCCGTATTATGGAATATAGCGAGGAAATTTTCAATTTCCTTTCCATCGTCATACCTAGTGGAAAGAGGTTGCAGCGCTGTTACCAATCTCCTAACGAAAAAAAGAAACAGACTGGATATCATTAGCCGAGAAGATTTAAGATTAACCGTTACAAAATTGACGGCAAATGTTGATAATTTATTATTAAAGCATCAGGTTCATCCTTCTCACTAAAAATTTTATGCTTTAACCTCTGAAAATAAAGCTTTAAATCTCGAGAATTTCAAAAAGTACTTATTTAGAAAAAATCATTTTCCAGCAATCATTGAAATAAATGTATCTCTCACTTCTGTTTATAATATGTGAATTAACAACATTATATAAGTATGAATATTGTTATACTTTTATCCAATCTTAATTTATTTCACTCGATTGAGTCATTTTAATGTTGAAACCTCTGCATTTTAAGTGGTATATTTCTTTTAAGTTGTAGAAAAATTTCCCTGATTTATTCTTCGATAGAACTATTTTCCTCAAATCAAACATCTGAAATAATGATGTAAGGCAAAACACATTGGGGCACCAGTCAATGGGCTCTGCCACCATGCAGATAGATGAATTAAAAGTTTGTGTAACTCTACCACCGGTGGGGAAGTAGTTCTTAGGGTATTGAGGATCATACATTATTATACTTGTTATAAAAATTGTTTCTATGGGTGAAGGATAAAAATTTGAAGATAACAATGTGATCACTAATGTAGAGCGTAACCTAATATAATAAGTGACATATAAATCCGAACACCCAGTTTAAATGGTTTTATTTTAATAAAATTTCGTATAAGTACTTAATGAAGCATAATAAGTAAATGATAAAAATTTCAAAATGATTGCACTGCTTTAAAGCCCTTTGACCTTTAATAATGTGTGGATGCACCCTGATGTGCTACGCATTCTCCAACGCGCCTAGGCATGCTTCTGATCAGGTGGTGAATGTCCTCCTGTGGTATCTCATTCCAGGCAACCACCAACTCCTCTCGAAGTGCTTCTAGAGTCTGAGGAGGACGTTGCAAATTGACCAATCTCCTACCCATCATATCCCACACGTGCTCAATTGGGGATAAGTCGGAAGATCTTGGTGGCCATGGTAACAATGTGACATCATTATGTTGAAAGAAGTCTATTGTAACTCTTGCAACATGTGGTCGGGCATTATCTTGTTGGAAAGTTGGATCTGCCAGGGTGTCAAGATAGGGTAAAAGATGGGGTTCTAGAACTTCGTGGATATAACGCTGCGCGTTCATGTTACCTCTGATGAAGATTAAAGGTGACCTGGAACCATAAGCTATAGCACCCCAAACCATAACTCCAACAGTGTGATGAACATGTCTTTCAACAAAAAACTGTGGATTCCTCCTTTCACCACGTCGCCTTCTAACCCTGGCACGACCATCGTGAATGCGTAAACAAAATCGAGACTCGTCACTAAAGACGATACTGTTCCATTCCTGATCCCAGAGTGACCGTTGTCTGCACCACTCAAGGCGATTACGTCGGTGTTCTCGAGTTAAAGGGAGGACCCAGTGTGGCCGGTATGAAAACAAGCCAAAACTTCTCATTCGTCGGTAAACACTTCGCATGCCAATAGGTCTTCCGTGTTCTGCAAACCATTCATTTGCAATGGACCTGGTAGTGGAGAAACGGTCCCTTAAGGCCAATAATCTTAGGCGGCGATCTTCACGGTCTGTTGTTCTACGGCGGCGTCCAGTGCCCCTTGCTCTTTGCGTACGGCCTTCTCGAAGCCATGCCTGACAACACCTAACCACAGTGTCTACACTTCTTTGCACTCTAACTGCAATTGCCCGAAAAGAAAGTCCAGCTTCCCGAAGTCCCACTATACGGCCCCTATCAAACTCACTAAGTTGACAAAATCGTACAGGTCTCCGTACTCTAGGCATCGTAACCGATCGTAAAGGATGTCAAGAACCAAAATCCGCCAACGTTGATTTTTTACTGCGGCTGAAATAAGATTCATTTTTAGAGCGTTACTGAATTAAAGAAAAAGCAGTATAAAAACCGGAATGTCCAACTGATAAGGCTGAACATTTTTTCACTTGTTATTTACAGTAAGATAAATACATTCACCAACTTTTATTAAAATAAAACCATTTAAACTGGGTGTTCGAATTTATATGTCACTTAATATATTTACACCAAGTCCTTATTATCTGTTTAAATTTCATTCAATATCTCACCCTTTTTTTGGCTGTTCTTATTTTAATACTTGCTTTCTGCCCAGTGGTTTTACCCTTGGAATCTGTAGGTGACGCCACTGTAGAGTAACCAAATTTCACAATAATACCAATTGCCTGTAAATTTACTAATGTCATCGAAGATACAACACGTGATCGGAAGTTTATAACTTTACTTGAAAACAGCGTTTTATGTTAGTAACAGTTTTAAGCGTACGAAGTCTTGGGTGATAGCTAGTGCAAAATAAAGCGTATGTACCGCTTGAGCGTCACAGGTTGAGTGGGGCGATAACAGACCACGGTGTTGCCAATTTGACGCTGACGCTGGAGATTTTGGTACTTTCCGCGACAATTGTTTGCAAAAATCGATGATGAGTTTGCGGATAAAAGCATACCTATAACGTTCCTCGGGTATCAATGAGTAAGTGTACAAATTTTTATTTCTCTCCGTTCATGGTTTAGTCATGATGCTGACAGACTGGGGAGGCATCACATTTATATTTTTAATAAGAATGTCTGCCTAAATGCCAAGGCATTTATAAATTTGAAATTATCTGGATGCGAATGATAATATAATAATTTCCTACAGTGTGGCCAGGTACAGTCGGTAGGTTTTTGATAGATTTCGTTACGGGTTTAGTTTGAAATCATGCTCTTGCCTCAGAATTCAAAATTTGTTGGCTAAAAATTGTACACTGTGAGCGGTTACCAAGACTAGATTCACAATCTTAAGTCCTAGGTGCTATCGTGGTCCGTGGGATCAGCCCTAAACTTTGTCTAAACCTTGTATGAACTGCCGTGATCCTGCAATAATCGTAAACACCAAACAAGGGTAGACATATTTCTAGTTTATCTACCTGAAGATTTTCTCTATGGTTTATACGTAACTCTCCACCTATTATCTTATTTTGTAGTTGAGGCCTCTTCGTCTGAGAATTGTTTACGTCTTCGTTTCTTTCCTAACCTCAATGTTACATTTTGACAAGTGTTCGGTCCTTTCAGTCCGGGAACAGTCCGCTGTTGTTCCATTGCTCCATTGCTCCTCTCGAACTTTGTGTTCCGTGTCCAAGTTGAAGAAACTTCACTTTTTGGTCGTAGCTCTGTTGAGAAGCACTCATTTTGCGGATCTTTACGCCAAATAAAGTCTAAGCGTTCTTCCTTTTTATGTCTCATATAATCCTACGCGGATGTGGGAGACGGGAGTCTTCGACGCTTTTACGGCGTTCTAGCCGACACTTTTAGGCCACACTCAAACAGAGGTAAGCAATTCGGCTTGCGTTAAAATGGAACCCGGCGCCATATTGGATTTTTGTTTCAGGCCTTTCATCTTCTTCCAACTTTTCGTCGTCTTCACCTTACGTTTTCTCCACCAAACTACTGCTGATACCTTCAGATGAAGCCCTGACGACTTTTCCACGCCCTGCCCTGTAATGAGAGTTCCAAGCAGCCCCTGAGGAAGGGAGCTGATTCAGCTGTTGCCAATGTCCACAGACGCCATGTGCTGAAACCCCGTCGAACTGCATCTATACAGGGTGTCCGCAAAGTTGGGGTTTTCCTTTTCAGAAACAACTACCCTTGAAATGACAAAGGTAATGTGTAGTGAAACGAGGGCGACCAAGTAAAAAAAAAAAAAAGAAAAAGTACTCACTCTCCAGTTGACGAGAAGGGCTAAGTACGTCTCTGCCCGAAATCATACTGCTCCAACAGAAGATAAAATCAGCTGATGCGCTACCGAGCAGACGCAGGCAAACAAGGAAGGCTAAATGTTGCGTAATGACCAAACATGAGTGTTGCGAAAGTTATTCATCCCATTACGCGTGAACGTAGATTCGTCTGACACCAATATGCACTCAAAAAGTCCGGATTATTGTCATGTTGATGCAACAAGCACTCACAAAACCGCACTCTTGCTGGAAAATCGTCAGGTTGAAGGGCTTGTACACGTTGGACGTGAAACGGATACAGCCCCTCTTCACGCAGCGTGTTGCCACACTTTAGTTTTTGATACTTGTACTTCTCTAGCCACGTCTCTAGTGCTTGTTGAGGGATTCTCGTCTACGCGATTACCTCTACATGCGTGACCGTAACCGTCGGTTGAAGGTTGCATACTGACCTGACACACTGACCCCGACCCAGTTCTGCCGTCGGGTTGAGACCTTGTACCAATCGGTGCTGTCCCGGGTCGCGGCTACAGGACGGTATCCAGATATTTTTGATGTTGCAGAGCCCTTTATCTCGGTTCCCTTAAGACATTGGTGTATATGGTACTAAGAAAAATTGCTTATGTTTTCAAGATCTACACGTCGTGTAAAGGAAAACCCCAACTTTGCGGACACCCTGTATATACTTAAGCAGCTAATTTCACTTAATATGAATTATTTATCCTAAATTCACAGCTGGTGTGATCCTGAGGTATGCATACCACCGGAAACTTGGTAAGTCACTAATGTTCGTTTTCATTTGTTGTTAGGTGATCGATTAACGATTGCAAAGTGAAATTTTGAGCTTACTGTGGTCATTTTGAATACTTGAATAATCCTGTCATAGCACCCTTCAGGTAGTTTGTTGCAAACCTTGTCATAGCACCCTTCAGGTAGTTTGTTGCAAACTTTGTAATAGCACCATTCAGGTGATTTATTAAAAATAGTTAAATAGATTTTGGGCAAGCTCTGGAAATTGGCAATCTTTTCATTACCCCCAGCGCCCTAATCCTCCAAATCAACAACCACTTCGAACCCCATAAGTAACATTCGTCGTGCAGGGAAGGGCATCTACAACCACCCCCCCTGGCACGAGGGTAACAATTTGTTCAAAAATGTTCGGCAGATCTTGGCAGACATCAAGCCAAAAAGCGGTGATTAAACATTGAATAGGGGGCACCTTGCTTGAGCTCCACTCGGTTTTGAAATTTGGAGAGTATCAAATGGTGAAATGTTGCTACTTGAAGAACGCACGAAATCGAAAATTGAGGTGGTGGGGGGCGTT